ATAAGAGAATCTGGCTGTTCTGCTAATGATTTCAGGTTCCAGGGATGTTTTCTAAGCTTTTCTCAGGAGACAGAGCCTGCCACATGTGTCCTCAAACCCTCAAACCCACGAGAAGGAACATTTTGATTTTTAACAAATTGAAATTTGAGAAGACTAATTTATTTGTGTTCACCCGGATTGGAATATTAGTAAGATGATCTGTCTGGAGTGATAACTGTTCAATATAAACTGGCTGTCATGTGTCCTGTCTTGGAATGCCTAAAACCCTACTCAGGGACTGTAGGTCCTGGTCCCTGTTGGGTCATGTGAGTAAGTGCTCTTACTAGAAGTGTCTTCCCAAGGACGATCCCATTTGTTGCAAGGATCAGTGCTCAGTCATCATTCCCTACTCAATGCATGATCACCCTAAGGCTTACGGAGATTTCACCACTTTCCTAAAGGTGATCACAGATCTTCTGATGGGAAGGTCATTTCCTGTTTCTCTACCGCACAACTTCTTCCTGTTTTTCCTCAGTGGTGTTTTTAAAAATATACATATTTTATTTACAAAGAGGAAGGGAGAGGGATAGAGAGTTAGGAACATGGATGAGAGAGAAACATCAATTAGCTGCCTCCTGCACACACCCCCTACTGGGAATGTGCCCGCAACCAAGGTACATGCCCTTGACCAGAATCAAACCTGGGACACTTCAGTCCGCAGGCCGATGCTCTATCCACTGAGCCAAACTGGTTACGGCTCCTCAGTGGTTTTTAACTCTGTCTGTATATCAGAATGAACAGGGATAGTAAACATATGAAGCACAGGCAAGTACACACACACACACACACACACACACACACTTAAGGTTGGACACAACTATTGTAACCAATGCTACAATTCTGGGCTCACGGAGTAGGCATCAAGTAGAATTCTATATCTTTCAAGTACTTGAGGAATAAGCTTTTTGTTTTACTTTACTCATCTGAGATTAAAAAAAATTTATGACCTTTCACCCTAGCCAGTTTGCTCAGTGGATAGAACGTTGGCCTGCAGACTGAAGGGCACATACCTAGGTTGCAGGCTCCTCCCCAGCCCAGGCCCTGGTCAGGGTTTGTGTAGGAGGCAACCAATCGACGTGTTTCTCTCACATCAATATTTCTCTCATCTTTCCTCTCCCACTCTCTCTAAAAATCAATAGAAAAATATCCTCAGGTGAGGATTAAAAAAATGTTGTGACCTTTCAATGACCTTCCAGAGATAGAAAATTGGGGCACAGAGATTACATAATGCTAGGGGGCAGAGTTCTGAATTCATCGGGGATCTGCTGAACTTAGTCTGAACTTTTAAGTATTAACCCTTCCCTCCGCCTCACCTCACCTATGAGGTTGCTTTCCTCTGACAAGAATTGTTGAGTATTGCGGGGATTACCCATGCGGTATTTTGGGAACAATGCTTTTGGGGTTACAAATTTTCATATCCAGAGCACCAGGGGATCCCCACACCTAGTTTGTTAGGGTCTTTTTTTTCTTGTCTCCGGTAGAGTGAATTCTGGGTGTTGGTTGAGGCTCAGGGACTCACCAGCCTTCTCTCTCTCTCCCGGATCAAGGACGAGGCTTGTCAGTTCCAAGACTCGCCAGTGGCAGGACATCTGCTCTGTGTTCCACTATGGGAACATGAGTGAGCTGGACCTAAGCAACAGCAAGCTGAATGCCGCAGCGATGAGGAAACTCTGCTACGAGCTGAGAAACCCACGGTGCAAACTCCAGAGACTGACGTAAGTGTGGGACACTCACCATTTGACGAATACCAGAGCAGAACAACACTTTTTAAAAATATATATATTTTTATTGATTTCAGAGAGGAAGGGAGAGGGAGATGGATGGAAACATCAAAGATGAGAGAGAATCATGGATCAGCTGCCTCCTGCACGCCCCCTACAGGGGATCGAGGCTGCAACCCAGGCATATGCCCTTGACCGGAATTGAACCTGGGACCCTTTCAGTCTGCGGCCAACACTCTATCGACTGAGCCAAACCAGCCAGGGCGAACAACACTTTTTTTGATTCCTACAGTAAGTATCTATTTGCCAGAAAGTAGGCTAAAAGAGAAAATAAAGCCTGACAGTCGTGGCTCACTGGTTGATCATTGATCTATGACCCAGGAGGTCAGGGTTCGATTCCCAGTCACAGCACATGCCTGGGTTGCATACTCAACCTGAGTAGGAGGCGTGCAGGAGGCAGCCAATGGATGATTCTCTCTCATCATTGATGTTTCTATCTCCCTTCTCTCTTTGTCTCTGAGATCAATAAAAAAATGTATATTTAAAAAAAAAGGAAAATAAAGGTGTTTGTATTCGTGAATTTGCCACGTAGGCAGGATAGGTTGAAATTAAAAAAAAAATTAGAGTCTGTCATGCCCGATCTTGCCCTAGCCTAGAGGTATGTGTAGAGAAACATTTTTCCTTAAGACGCTGAGTGAGGCTGCTGATTTGAGTTGGATGTGAAGGACTGGAGAACTTTTCAGATATTATAGGGGTGTTTCTATCTCGGTTGTGGAGTTGTGAACAGAACGGGTAACTCCTGCCTTCATGGAGCTTACACTGTGTTGGAGAAACGCACCTAAATGATCAGAATAGTTTATGAGAGGGCGACATCTCCCCAAGAAGAAGAAATCAGTTTCTTAAGAAACGGCTGATGTGGCTCACTGTGTTGGGCACCATCCCATGCACCAAAAGGTTGCCAGTTTGATTCCCAGTCGGGGCACATGCCCAGGTTTCGGGCTTGATTCCTAGTAGGGGGTGTGCAGGAGGCAGCCAATCAATGTTTCTCTCTCTCCCTCTCCCTTCCCCTCTCTCTATCAAATCAAATATATATATATATATAAAGAAGGGCCTTCCCTATCTAAAAAAATTTGAGTAAAGACCTAGTCATTGAAATGGAAGCATAGTTTTGGACTTACCGGTCCTCTAGCATGATGTAAATAGAAACGACAGGGTATCAAATCCAGCGTGAAGATGGAAAATAATGAGCAGATGGAAGAGGACCTTGTAGGAGAAGCCAGGGAAGCAACATCTGATAGAGGACAGAGTGAGTCCTGCTTAGGGTTGAATTGGAGATGGCATTGGGTAGGATGCTCTGTCTGGAGTCTTGGCCAACGAATTCTATCCTACTCTTCATCCGCCGTTCCATCATACCTCAAGGTCTAAAATATCAGACACATGTTGATTCAAGGAACTAAGAGCAGAAGATTTGGCGATCATGACTTTCCTCAAACCTCAGAGTGGTGAAGGAGCTGGATCAAGTACAGGGGAGGTGGGCTTACATGGTGGTCTTTTTCATCCTCCCCCCACCCCCACCAACATTTTGGTTCTGTCATTTAGTCCCTCAAGATAAGGAGAAACAAGCTAAACACACACATAAAACAACAGGAGAGAGTGGTTTTCATCAGACCTTTCAGGGTTGATGTCGGAGGTCACCTTCCTAGAAGAGTGGGTGGCCCCAGGACCTTGTCATGGTAGATTAGGGAAGGGAAGCAGCTAGGTTGACACCTGTCTTTATTATTTATTTATCCTCACCCAAAGATATTTTCCCATTGATTTTTAGAGAGGGTAGAAGAAAGAGGGAAAGACAGAGAGAAACATCGACGTGAGAAACACATTGATTGGTTGCCTCCTGCATGCGCCCCGACCAGGGCCTGGGCCTGGGAGGATCCTGCAACTAGGTATATGCCCTTGACCAGAATGGAACCTGGGACCCTGCAGGCTGATGCTCTATCCACTGAGCCAAACTGGCTAGGACTTATTCTTATTTTTTTAAACATTATTTATTGATTTGAGAGAGAAACATCGATTGTTATTCCGCTTATTTATGCATTTGTCAGTCGCCTCTTGTGTGTGCCCTGACTGGGGAATCGAATCCACAACCTTGGCGCATTGGGATGATGCTTCAACCAACTGAGCTACCTGGCCAGGGCTGACTCCTGACTTTATATGTCCAACTGAGTTTATTGTCTTTTGGGGGGATATATTTTTAGATCGCCTCTTCAAAGGTTCAGTATCATGACTCAAAAATCAAATTTGGGGTTCCTTTTATATCTCGTACATCCTTGAGGGTCTATGTGTATGTGTGTTGATGGTAGAAAGGCAAGATGAGGAAACAATGTTCCCGCCCCTCACCACTCCTCACACAAGCTTTCTCGGTGTTTTTTTTTCCCCTCAGGTGCAAATCGATCACCCCTGTGCGGGTGTTGAAGGAGCTGGTCCTGCTTCTCCATGGTAACAATCGGCTGACCCATCTGAACTTGAGTTCTAACAAACTGGGAGTTGCTTTGTCCATGATGATCTTTAGAACCTTGAAGCACTCCGCATGCAAACTCAAGTACCTGTGGTAAGTCTCTGGTTTCCAGTGAGGAACACAAACTATCCTAGCCTGATGCTGGACTGGACTCTGCTCCATCATGGAAAGGAAGCTGAGAACACTGGCTCTCATGTTAGCTCTACTGAAGCCCCAGCTGCACTTCTTCAACCACTGGACTAAGGGAACTGGGACTTTGAAATCCCAGGGATTTAATTCCACAGAAATAAGACCACCCCTATGCTTGAGGAGTCATTGAGAGGACAGGAGCCAGCATGGCAGCCATGGATGTGGAAGGAGATTAGCAGAGGGAAAAGTACAAGGGTGTGGAGCAGTGATTCTCACATTTATTTTATTTTTAAATTGATTTTATTGCCAAACAGTGGAATGACCTGTCGCTGGAACGACCGATCGCTATTACGTGCACTGACCTCCAGGGGGCAGATGCTCAAAGCAGGAGCTGCCCCCTGGTGGTGAGTGTGCTCCCACAGGGGGAGCGCCACACAGCCAGAAGCCAGGCTCATGGCTGGCGAGCACAGTGGCAATGGCGGAAGCCTCTCCTTCCTCTGCTGCAGGTGGATGGTAAGGAGCGAGGGGTCCCAGATGGCGAGAGCCCCGGACTGCCAGCGGGGAGTGGGGCTAAGCTGGCAGGTGGACATCCCCTGAGGGGTCCCAGACTGCGAGAGAGTGCAGGCCGGGCTGAAGACCCCCCCCCACCAGTGCACAAATTTTGTGCACCGGGCCTCTAGTTGGTTAATAAAATTATACAGTTTCAGGTACAAAATTCTACAACACATCATCTGTATATTGTATTGTGTGTTCACCATCCAAAGTCAAGTCTCCTCCCATCACCATTTGTTCTCCTTTACCTTCTTCTATCTACCCCCAACCCCCTTCCCTCTGGCAATCACCACACTGTTGTCTGTGTCCACGAGTCTTTCTTTCTTTGCTTAATTCCTTCACCCTTCTCACCCTGCCCCCAAACCACTCCCCTCTGACAGCTGTTAGTCTGTTTCTGTATCCATGAGTCTGTCTCCACTCTGTTTGTTAGTTTGTTTTGTTCATTAGATTCCACATATAAGTGAGATCACATGGTATTTGTCTCTCTCTGACTGGCTTATTTCCCTTAGCACAGTGGTCGGCAAACTGCGGCTCACGAGCCACATGTGGCTCTTTGGCCCCTTGAGTGTGGCTCTTCCTAAGCCTTAGGAGTACCCTAATTAAGTTAATAACAATGTACCTACCTATATAGTTTAAGTTTAAACAATTTGGCTCTCAAAAGAAATTTCAATCGTACTGTTGATATTTGGCTCTATTGACTAATGAGTTTGCCGACCACTGACTTAGCATAATAATCTCCAGGCCCATTCATGCTGTCGCAAAAGGTAAGATTCCTTCTCCCTTTTTTTACGGCTGAATAGTATTCCATGGTGTAAATGGACCACAGCTTTTTTATCCACTCACCTACGGACGGGCACTTGGGCTGCTTCCACATCTTCGCTATTGTAAATAAGGCTGCTATGAATATAGGGGTGCAAACGTTCTTTTGAATAGTCCCAGAGTGGAATTGCTGGGTCATAACATTTTAATTTATAACAAAATCATCAGAGATGGGCGGGGTGGGGAGGCGGGGGGTGGGGCTGGGAGATGGAGAGGGTGGAGTGTTAAAACACAGATTCCTGGAACACACCCTCTGAGCTCCAGCAGGTGGCGCCAGCTCTGAGGTGATGCTGGACCCTGGACCACACTTTGAGTGGCACTAACTCAGAGGCCACCTTGGCTCAGGCGTGGGGAGAAGTCAGCTTTTGTTGGTGCAGCAAGAAGACCTCTGAATGGACAACCACTCCGCCCTGGAGTCATTGCCCAACTCGGGGCCTCTTTGATAGGTTGGAATCGTGCGACCTCACCTCTGTGGCTTGTCGCAGTCTCTTTATGGAACTCAACAAGAACGCCAGCCTGCGCTTCCTCAGCCTGGGCGACAATGACCTCTCTAATATTGAGGTGAAGAGCTTTCAGAAGTCCTTTGACACGTCAAAGTGTGCTCTGAGGGAGCTCTCGTAAGTCTCTCCCTGGGTCCAAGTATCTTCTTTGCAGGTGGGAGTGGCCAGGCAAGAATATGTTTTTGTTTTGTTGTTGTTGTTTTTTTAAATTTAATTTTATTGTTTAAAGTATTACAAATAGTAGTACATATGTCTCCTTTTTTCCCCATTGACCTCCCCTACCCCCTGGCACATGCCCTCACCCCCCTCCCCAGTGTCTTGTGTCCAGTGGTTATGCTTATATGCATGCATGTAAGTCCTTCGGTTGATCTGTAACCTTCCCCCAACCCCCCAGCTTTTTCGCTGTAGTTTGACAGTCTGTTCGATGCTTCTCTTCCTCTGTATCTATTTTTGTTCATCAGGTTATAATGTTCTTTATTATTCATAAATGAACGAGATCATGTGGTATTTTTCTTTCACTGACTGGCTTATTTCACTTAGCGTAATGCTCTCCAGTTCCATCCATGCTGTTGCAAATGGTAAGAGTTCCTTCTTTTTTACAGCAGCGTAGAATTCCATTGTGTAGATGTACCACAGTTCTCTAATCCATTCATCTGCTGATGGGCATTTAGGCTGTTTCCAAACCTTAGCTAAGGTAAATTTTGCTGCTATGAACATAGTGGTTGTATTTACCTATCCTGTGGGCACACTTCTTTTGTTTAAATTTGTTTTATTGAGAGAGAGAGAGAGAGAGAGAGAGAGAGAGAGAGAGACATTGATGTGAGAGAAAAACTTGGATCAGTTTCCTCCTGTACGCACCCTGACTCGGGATCAAGCCCACAACCCAGGGATGTGCCCTGACCGGGAACTGAGCCGGCGACCTTTGGGTGCATGGGATGACATCCAACCAACTGAGCCACACTGGCCTTTCTCTCCCTACCTTTCTCCTTCGGGCTCAGTCTTGGCTAGTTTTGCCGCCAGTGTGACCGTGGACCCCACAGCCTCTTTGGTTTAACCCAAAGAGGTTCCCGTCAGCCTCCCCTAAACCCAGTGGGTTTTGACTGGGGACTATTTTGTCCCTCAGAGAACATTTGACAATGCCCAGACACACACTTGATTTTCACAGTTGGGAGAGGGACGCTGCTGGTATGTCCTGGATAAAGACCAGTTAGGATCAGCACCCTGCACTGCACTGGGGGGACCACCCTCCCAAAACCAAGAAGGTCGGCCCAAAACTCAGTAGGACAAGGGTTGAGAAACCGTACCTTGAGCCACTTTTTTCTCTTTGAAGCTTTTGTTCTTTATCCGATTTAATTTATTTTTATTTTAAAAAATATGTTTTTATTGATTTGAGAGAGAGAGAAAGGGAGGGGAAGAGGGAGGGAGAAAGAGAGAGAGAGAGAGAGAGAGAGAGAGAGAGAGAGAGAGAGAGAAACATTGATGGGAGAGCACAGTATTGATTGGCTGCCTCCTGCACGCCCCCTACTGGGGATCCAGCCCACAACCTGGGCATATGCCCTGATATGGGTCACACTCAACCAACTAAGCCACACCAGCCAGGGCTATTTTCTTTCTTTTTTTTTAAATTGATGTTTACAGAGCCAGAAAGAGAGAGAGAAACATCCATTTTTGTTGTTCCACTGATTGATGCATTCATTGGTTGATTCCTATATGTGTCCTGACCGGGGATGGAACCCACAATCTTGGTGTATCAGGATGATGCTCCAACCAACTGAACTACCCAGCCAGAGCCCTATATCCAATTTAATCTTCCCATGATGGTTGGGTTCCACACAGGTGTGGCCCCAGGGAGGGGCAGTGTGAGAACGAAACGGGGGGAGAGGGGGGCGAGGCTCACCCTGCACCTATCCCTCCTGCAGCCTGGAGAAGTGCAGCCTGTCAGCGGCCCGTGCAGAGGAGGTGGCCTCAGTTCTCTCCAGCACCCAGCGGACCACGCATCTGTGCCTGGCGTTCAACCAGCTCCAGGACAAGGGGCTGCAGTGGCTGTGTGCCTCCCTCAGCCTGCCCGGCTGCGCCTTACGGAGGCTGGTGTGAGCTCCTGGGCCCTGTGTCTGAACATGACCCTCTGTCGGCGTGGGGGAGGGGGGGAAGAGTGGTTCCGTCACTGGGACCCATGTTACTATTATTATTACTATTGTAGCACTTAACACGGCATCTACCCTCTTCGGCTATTTTTAAAAATATATATTTATACTGATTTCAGAGATGAAGGGAGAGGGAGAGAGAGATAGAAACATCAATGATGAGAGAGAATCATGGATCGGCTGCCTCTTGCATGCCCCACACTGGGGATGGAGCTTGCAACCCAGGCATGTGCCCTTTACTGGAATCCAACCTGAACCCTTCAGTCCACAGGCCAATGCTCTATCCACTGAGCCAAACTGGCCAGGCCAGACTAGTTTATTTATTTTTTTTCTTTTCTTAATCCTCACCTGAGGATATATATTTTCCCCATCGATTTTTAGAAAGAGTGGAAGGGAGGAAGGGAAGGAGGGAGGGAGGGAGGGAGACAGAGAGAGAGAGAGAGAGAGAGAGAGAGAGAGAGAGAGAGAGAGAAACATCAATGTGTGAGAGAGACATCGATTAGTTGCCTCCTGGGCGCACCTGACCAGGGTTGGGGATTGAACGTGCAACCCAGGTAGGTGCCCTTGATACGTGCAACCCAGGTAGGTGCCCTTGATCAGGAATCGAACCCACAATTCTTCTAACCACCGGTCAGGCACGGGCACATGCTTGTGGAGCTGTGATCTGAGGCTGGAATAGGACCGGACGGACAGTCAGCACACAGATCCTCCGCGCATCTCGGGTGGGGGGCAGGGAGATACCATGGTAACCCTGAGGCCGGTGGTGGGGGGTAGGGAGACACCATGGTGACCCCAAAGCCAGGCAGCAGCGGGCTGGCGGCTGTGCCGCTGGCCTGGGGCACGCTGAGGCCTGAGCTGCTTTCTGCACCCCTCTCCACCCACAGGCTCTGCTCCTGTGAGCTGGGTGCGCCCAGTGGCCGGCACCTGGCTGACGCGCTCCTGCAGAACCAGGGCCTGACTCACCTGAGTCTGAGGAGGAACCGCCTGGGCGACGAGGGGGTACGCTCTCTGAGCGAGGCCCTGAGCCACAAGGACTGCAGCCTGCAGAACCTGGAGTAAGTGCCCCGGCCTCGGTCAGTGGGGACCCGCGCCTGTGGTCAGTGGACCACCTGCGGCGTGCAGGCCAGTGTTCCAGGCGGGGGTTCCTCTGCGTGTAGACGGGGGATTCGTGGCACAGGGGAGCCTTAGCTTGTGTTGGAGGTGGGGGTGTGCGGGGTGCATAGTGGAAAGCGGGGTGACTGCTAAGTCCGGGCCCGCTGGGTCTGATGCCTGGGGAGGCCTTGGGGAGCTCTGCATAGAGCCGCGTGCGTGGCCCTGGGTCATTCCAGTCGGGGAGACGGTGACATGGCTGCAGGAGCAGGTGCCTCGGGCAGAGTCTGGGGGAAACAGCACTGGCGCCCAGGAATTCTCCCCCGTAGGTCACTCAGCCAGGACTCATCATGCCCCCAGCCCCCAGCGGTGTCAACAGGGGGAAAGGCCGTGCTCGGTGGGGGGCGGGGATCCCTATAGACCCCGCAGACCCCGAGCTCAGGGTTTTACTCGGCGCTGGTCCTGTGGATGCGCCTGCATCCCCTGTCCTGAGACCCCAGACATTCAGGAGGAAAGCAGCCGTTCAAGTCTGGCCGGCATGGCTCAGTGGTTGAGCATCAACCTATGAACCAGGTGGTCATGGTTCCATTCCCTGTCAGGGCACATGCCCGGATTGTGGGCTCCACTCCCCAGTAGGGGGCATCTAGGACATCATAGCAACTGGTCAACAGGTGGACTGTCTGCCCCCTGGTGGTCAGTGCACATCATAGTGAGCAGTTGAGCAGCCTTAGTATACATTAGCATATTATGCTTTGAATGATTGAACGGCCAACTGGTCAACCAGACACTTAGCATATTAGGCTTTTATTATATAGGATATTAAAAATCTCTTTGCTTGTAGATTTTTTTTCAGGTTTCTTTTTTTACTTTATTTTTATTTTGACACTATTCCTCTCTCCCTTCTGCTCTCTTTAAAAATCAATGGAAAAAAAATCCTTGGGTGAGGATTAACAACAACAACAAAAGACTGAGGCCCTAGGATAGTTTCCCCTCTTGCACATTTAAAGAGAAAATCTTTATTATTGAAAGCATTATGTAGGTCCCCCTTCCCAACGCCCCAACCTCTTGCAGACTGCCCCCCCCAGGCCCTCTCCACCCCATTGTCTGTGTCCACGGGTTATGTATACAAGTGCATTGGTTGATCTCTTCCCACCCACCCTCCTCTGCCTTCCCTCTGAGGTTCAACAGTCTGTTCTATGCTTCTATGTCTCTGGGTCTGTTTTTTAAAAAAATATTTTTATTGATCTCAGAGAGGAAGGGAGAGAGAGAGAGAGATAGAAACATCAATGATAAGGAGAGAATCATGGATCAGCTTCCTCCTGCACTCCCCACACTGGGGATTGAGCCCACAACCCTGGCATGTGCCCAGACTGGGAATAGAACCGTGACCTCCTGGTTCATGGGTTGATGCTCAACCACTGAGTCAAGCCAGCTGGGCTCTGAGTCTATTTTTGATCTTCAGTTTATTTGGTTCATTATTTGGTCTCCATATGAGTGAGATCATGTGACACTTGCACGTTTGTATCCCACAGTCTGTCAGAGTGCGCGTTCGAGGCGGAGGGCTGCTGGGTGCTGGCGGAGGCCCTGGGGCGCAATTCCGGCCTGAAGGTGCTGGACGTCGGGGGAAACCGAATTCAGGACGCCGGAGGGAAGCGGCTGTGCGCAGCTCTGAAACAGCCCAGCTGCACCCTGAACACACTCGGGTGAGTGGGCTAGACCACTGCTCCCTCCTGGGAGGGGACAGACAGCACATGGGCCCACACGGCTCAGAAGGGGGGACACGGGGAAGGACAAAGTTCTTTAAACTTCTCTTTGCTGTCCAGCTGGTGTGGCTCAGTGGTTGAACATCAATCCATGAACCGGGAGGTCACAGTTCAACTCTGGTCAAGGGCACATGCCAGGGTTGCGGGCTCGATCCCCAGTGGGGGGCGTGCAGGAGGCAGCCAATCAGTGATTCTCTTTCATCATTGATGTTTCTATCTCTCTCTCCCTCTCCTTTCTCTCTGAAATCAATTACATATATACACTGAGTGGCCAGATTATTATGACCACCCCATCAGTACTTCATTGACACTTCCAAAAATACTGAATATTGAAAACTTCCTAAGCAAATACTCTCAAGGTTTTATTATTATTTGCTTAACTAATTCACTTCATTGTACTGATGGGGTGGT